CTACTGTACATATACACACTCCTCAGAACACCAAACCATACTGTAATACTGTAATAAGAGTTGCGTTTGCTATTGTAATGCTGATCACCCGCCACACACACACCCACCACCACACACACACACACACACACACACACACAGACACTTCCTCTCCAGCCCCAAAACAAAAATCCCTGAGATCAGCTTTAGATGACAAACAGCTAATTAATTTTTCTAGCATGGGGGTTTTCTCTGTGTGTGTGTGTGTGTGTATGTGTGTCATGGCTTCAGGGCGGGGAGATGTTGCCCTCAGCTGAGTATGTGAAACTTGTGAGATTAATTTAAGATCACTGACGTGTATAGCATTTGCATGAGAGCTCACAAGATCGCTTCATTTCCTGTTGGCCACGGCCAGGGCAAGAAGTCAAATGGGGGACATCCACCGTGAACAAAGAGAGACAAACTTACTGTATACCGACAAGCCAGAAATAGCAAATCTGTAATCGTTTAAACACCCTCATGTCCTTTTAAACCTGCACTCTTAGAAGAAAAGGTTCTATATAGAACCTTTAAAGGTTCTATCAGTGCTACGTATTTGGAACCCCTAAAAGGTTCTATACACTCTTAAAAAAGGGTTCCTCTGGGTTCTATATAGAACCCTGGGGTTCCATACTTGGTCAATAGAACCTTTTACAAAAAAAAAAAAATGGTTCTATATAGAACCATTTTGGAGTTCCATATATGAAGCGGGGGATGGAACCATTTTTGGTTCTAAATAGAACCATTTCTTCTAAGAGTGAGTAAGATTTACTTTTACAACACAAAAGGAGATCAATTAAGCATCACTCATGATGTCAAACACCATTGGCTCCCATTTGCATCGTAACCGAGTTTCAACTTTACATTTATGCATTTGGTACACACACTTGTAGCCTATATCAAACGACTTACATTGCATTCAATTTTTTATAAGGAATGGAATCCATGGCCTTGGCATTGCTGCATTAGTTAACAAAAAAAATCGAATCCTAATGTTTACGAATACATTACTGAAATCAAAAAGAGTATCTTTTCATCTTTTCGTAAATACAACCAGGGTTTGACATTAATACCCACCAAATGCGTGTGTATTTCAGCAGAATTGAATTGGGTTGAATTTTATAAGCCTATATAATATATATTTTTCAATTGTAGTCTTTTAAAAAGACATCGGATATAACAAACCAAGTGCAATGTAGTGTTGTCAAAAAAAAAATTTCGATACTGAAATATCTGAAACGCTTCGAATACTCGTTTACCGCAGAATAGATACAGGATAGCTGTGCTTTCTCACTCTCTCGCGTCAAAAATTCCTGCAGCGCGAATGAAGCGTGTGTCAAGTGTCAAGTTGCTGCGAATTGAGCGTCTGCCGCGTTAAGCGCGAATGATTTAGTCAGTGCTATTTGTGCATTCACACGTTTGACGCGAATTCGCGCCTGCCGCCCGAGTTGAAAAATCGGAACTTTGGCGTCAATTCGGTCCGCGTTAACCAATCAGGAGCCTAGCTGCTTGCTCACGTGGTGAAGGATCTGGATGCTTCAATTATTTTGTAATATGACTAAATGCCTGGTGTGGTTCTAATGCACAACAAAGCAAATATTTTAGCACTTAAAAACTTTATTTCTGTTCATTTTGTATCGAATGTTATTTATTCCATATCTAGATTATATGAAATATTATTATAATGTAAAGACAACCAACATGCATGTGCATAAGTTCGTGTCTGGACGTAAGAGAGAAAAAAAAATAAATAAATAAAAAATCACACGACAGGTTAATAACTTTTGGCTGGCTCTATTTATCATCACAACAAAAATAAATGACAGATTAGGTGGATGAGGGAGAGCGTGATCCTCGCTCCGATGTGGGACAACAGCTCATCAAACTGGGAGTGGGACAGGCGGAAGTGACAGCGGCCGTCATCCAGGCACATGGTGAAACTAGCCAAACGGTTCGCCTCAGACACAAATACGGCGAAGATTATCCCTATGCCGCTGCACAGAGCGGTGACTCTCTCGATGAATGCGCGGTCAACATAAAAAGATGGCTGCCAACGGTTTTCGATTCTGACGCGCGTAAATTTCGCTTCAAACTTTTGTTTTTACACGCGTCAATTTCGCTCTTGACACGCGAATGGATTCAAAGTGTTCAAGCGTATAACTAGACGTGGTAGCCGCGAATTTAACGCGCTATTCGCGTCCGGTGTGAACGCACAGAAACAGTATAATGGATCCATACGTCAGGTTTTAAAGTGACAGCAGCCTAAAATATGAGATAATATACAAATTATCCATACGGCAGTTTTACCCATAATTGTGGCAAGTGAGTGGCTAGTAACTTTGGAAAACCACTAGCCACAGTGGCTGCTAATGGGCAAAAAAGTTCATGTCAAGCCCTAAATACAATTGTAAGAGAACTGACAGTTGTATTTACAAAGATTATTGCTCATTGTTCATTTTAGTCAATGGATTAACTAACATTTACTAATGGGTCCACACTATAAAGTGTATATGCTGGTTTGGAACATCATGAAAAAAATAAAATAAAACAGAAATGGATCAAGCACAAAGTGTCATGACACTGACTAATGTCTATATACTGCATAAACACACTCCTGGGTGATACTGCTGCTGTTTATGCTATATTGCATTCACAGAGCCCTCATACATCTCTCTTAAAAATCTCATCTGCTTCCAAACAAGCCGCGACCAATATTCCAGTCACACTGAAGGCAGTCGGAAAAACACAATTCCAGTCTGGCAGCTTATGATTATTGAGCACTCGTTCTCCGGGCCGAATCAAGGCGTCCTAATTTCCTGTCCTTCAAATAAAATGCCGGCTTTATTAGTTTCACACTTAAAATGATGTACAGAAAGGTTACCCGAGCGCAACGATCGGGCTTTTAGTTTTAACGAGTGCATACATCATAAAGCCATCTCGGTGTAATAATCATCCATCATAATTGAGACACCGGACCAGCTGAGGGACCTGCGCGCCGAATGGGAAACAGATTTGGAGAAGGCGGCGACGAGCTACGCAAAAGTGGCGCGTACTACACGCCGCTAAGAAAAACTGTTAGTTTATGGGGGCTCCTGCGGGACTGCGCGAGTGGTTTTTCAGTTAACTTGGAGGAACTTTGATTTTCAGACCTGTCAGAGTGAGAAAGTGTGTTTTTGTGCCTAATCTTGATTGCATGCGCGCATGTGTGTGTGTGTTTTATGCATGTGGGTGTGAGGCGGCGCGTCTGTTTCTGTCTGTTCGTTTTGCACTCGTTTTATGTACACCAGTCCGCTGGGTCTCTGCTCCGTCCCATGCTGTGTCAGCCGCGGTCTCACGTCTGGGCCAGGCTTTAATTACAGTGCAGACTGCTGTATTTCTGAAGGGGGTTGTTGCTCGTGGAAGTCAGCCCTGCTGAGGTGCTGTGGAGAGGAGGACGGGACGGATCGTGACCCTCCCCCTGATCCCAGCGTCCCGCGGGACTTTAGGGCTTTACCGCGGTGCCACTGCCTCCCCTGGCCCTGACGCTGCCCACCTGCCACCTAATGAACACACACACACAGGTTTACTTGGCTATCCAAAATGGACGTAATGGGTTTTATCCTGTCCAAACTGTACATTCTCTCCCCCTACCCTCTAAAAATTGCTGGGTTGTTTTAACCCAAATTTCAGTCGAAAAGAAATTAAGGTTTTTGATGAAAACATTCCAGGATTTTCTCCATATAATGGACTTCAATGGGGACCAAACGGTTCAAGGTCCAAATGAGAGTTTCAGTGCAGCTTCAAAGGGCTTTAAACGATTTGAGACGATGAATAAGGGTCTTATCTAGCGAAACCATCGAGTCATGACTCGAAAAAAGATTTGTTCATGTTTTTTCATCACAGAACAGAGCAAGGCGAGCATTTGTGCTTATGAAACTTAAACGTTATTTATTTTTGAAATGAGCGATTGTTTCGCTAGATAAGACCCTTATTCATCATCTGAAATCGTTTAAAGCCTTTTGAAGCTGCAC